TCGAGAAAGGCTAGGTAGCAGGGTCTACGCTTTTCTCGATGCTTCTCCATAACTTGCCTAGCTATGAAGGTGGCATCCGTTGTAGACCTTTCAGGCATGAAACCGAACTGCTCCTGTGAGATTGGGGCCAATTCCCTCAATCTTGAGTCGACCAACAGCTCGTACAGTTTTCGTGTGAGCAATCAACCTGATCCCCCTTGTTGGAACACTCCATCGCGTTCCCCTTCTGCTTGAAGTTGGGAACGATAGTACTCCCCCTCCACGCATCTGGGACCCTTCCTTTAGCGGTGACAGTGTTCAGGAGTCAGGTGAGCCACTTTATCAAGTGCTCTCCGAGCGCCTTCCATGCCTCGTTCGGTACTCCCCTTGCCACTTACCAGTTCCTTCCCAACCTTCATCTTTCGCATTGCTCTACCACCTCATTCTCTGTCCAGAGATTGATGGGGCCAGCCGTTGCCTTCAAATGGGGGCCGTTCTTATGGACGAATTCTTTGTTGAGGAACCTGTCGAAGTATTCCTTCCACCTACGCCTGACCTCACTAGGCTTCCTCAGGACTGCACCCTTGCCGTTCCTGACGGACTTCACTACCCCGATGTCCTGGGTGGCGCGGTGACGCGCTTTCACCAAGCGGAAGACGAACTTCTCTCCTTCTCGACTGTCGAGTTTCTCATACAAAGCGTCTATTTCCGTGTTCTTCGCCTTCGCGACAGCAGCCTTGGCGAGCCACTTGGAAGTTCTATAGGAAGCTAGGTCCTCTGGAGCTCGTGTTTTCGCCAGCGCTTGTGAGTCGATTTCTTCTGCCTCATAACTCGCTGGACATCACAATTCCAGAACCATGCTTCCTTGTCTCCTCGGGAATCACCTCGAGTTTTCCCTATTGTTTCCTTTGCACATCGCAGGATAACCTTCAAAGTGTTGTTCCAAGTCTGCTGAATCTCCCTTCGGCATTTGCAAGTTCGGCTTCTAGTACCTTCTCTTTGAGGTGTTCTCTTTCGAACTGGTGCAACTTCCACCACCGGATCCACCGTTCCGTTTTTGTCCTTGATTTCTTGGGAAGATCGATGGCTATATCTGTTAGAAGAGGTCTGTGCTGTGGAGCCAGATCTTCTCCGGGCAGTGCCTTGATGTCCTTTACAGTTTCAAGGGACGATCTTCTTGCCAGCACATGATCTATTTCCGTTTCTTTTCTCCATTGCTGTAGGTTACTTTCTGGGATTTCCTTTTCGCGAAGAAGGTCTTCTCCTTTCACTACCGACGTGCCCATTCAGATCACCTGCTATGGTGAGTAGTCCCCCTCCGGAACCGATTGGATGGCCTCGTCAAGGCTCAGATAGGACTCATTTTTTCCGTGGATGGGGCAGCCGACTTGAGGTACGTACACTGATATTAATGTCTAGTAACCCCTCCTTCGTGTTTTTCCTTACAGCCATGATTCGTCTGCTGATCCTATTGACGGCGGAGACAGAGTCTTTCAGGGACTCTGCCACTGCTATGGCCGCACCGTTTCGTTTGGTGTCTCCTCCGTTGTAGAAGAGTTTGACACCCTCTCCAATTGCTCTGGCCTTTGCTCCCTTCCAGCGGGTCTCCTGAAAGCATAGGATTTGGATGTTTCGCGCTTCATAAAATCGGCGAGCTCCTGAGACTTCCCAGTAAGCGATCCCACATTTAGAGTCCCTATTCGAACTAACTTCTTTGGCCGAGGTCGTTCACTCCTCGGAAGCCCTCACGTCATAGCTTTATCTTTGATACTCTTTGAGACTTTAGACATAATCATTTATTGTAACTGGTTTCTCCATCAGCCGGCTGTCAACCTGGTCCTGGCGCTGGAACCGATAGCATTTTTGCAATTTTGCAAGGCATGGATTTGCCTCAGCAGGGATCTAACTCGCACTCCTACTAAGTGCAGACGTGAGCCTACACTCTTATCCACCCGGCTATTCCTTTTATCTTCCCAGACAAGTTTGGTGCCAATCATGCGACCCTGAGGGATCGTGGCCTGATTGGCCCAGGCGGGTATCAATTCGGGATTCGAACTCGTAGCCATGCGTGTGGATAGTGTGCCCCTTGCCACTACATCATTTTCGCTTATTCAAAACTAACACATATTAATTAATTGAACGCGAAAAGATAGATGCTTTTGTTGGCTTGAGTTAGTATAGGTCCGGGATTTAGTTGCAGCGATAAACCAACCACTTGAAGCTTTCTCACCTCCGCCCTCTTCTCGCAGAAATGAAAAGATTAGATGACTGTGATGAAATACAAGGCGATAAAGTGCGGGTAGAAGCAGCGCCTTCTGGTTTTCGGCAATCCGTGTCAAGCCGAAAGCCTCACGAACCAGCGTTCCATAGAGGAAAGTGAGAGGGGAATGGGGAGGAATATGTTTGCAAAGTGAAAAAACATTTGCCCACATTCAATATGTTATACGAAAGTTTCCTTTGTTCCCAAAATCAGCAAGAATATATAGCTCTCATCAAAGAGATTGGTCTAGGCCTCTGTGGGTTACGTTGAAATGTACCACAGTGACAATGAACAGTTGTTCTCATTCCTCCCATCTCCATTGCTTAAATTCTGTTTTTTTAATGTGTTGTCCGAAAAGTCTCCACCGATTATTGGTTCATCTTTGAATGAAAATTCCTAGAAGAAGAAATCCATTAATTGAACAATATGTTCTCCATTTTGTTCAGTGAGGATTCGCAATCTTCCTGTATTTTCCAGTTTCCCACTTTCAAAAAGATTCCAGACTTAAAATCGAAAAACCCTCCCAGGTGCTGTTTGCAGTCCTCCAGCGGACTGAACGATTTTCCATTCAATGATTTTTGCAGAAACCAAAATAAGTGGTATTCTGATGGTGCTACGTCCGGAATATATGGGGGTGTTGTAAGACATTCCACCCAGGCTTTAGCAATTTTTGGCCGAAAATACGTGTGGAGGTATCCTTTTGGAAGAATACGTGGGGAGGTATCCTGTTGGAAGACACCGACCTCACGATTGGCCAGTTCGGGTCGCTTCTGGTCCATCGCTGCCTCCAAGTTGTCTAGCTAAGTATAGTACCTTTCAGAAGTTATCCTTTGAATATGCGACAACAGGTCATGATGAGTGATATCCCTACAATCACACCAGTAGCACAGCATAGTCTTCCGCACCCAGATTTTAACTTTTGCAGCGCTTTGTGACGGCTCAGTGGGAACTCTGAACGATGTTTCCGCTCCTCGTTGTTGTACAGGATCCACTTTTCATCCTCCGTACTCATGCGTTTCAGAAAGGCTCAATTTTATTTCGTTTGGGCAATGAGTCGCACACGGAGGCGCGGTCCACCATNAAGGTCCAGCAGATGATCATGGATGCCTGGTTTCGAAACATTAAGCCTTTCTCCTACACTACGAATAGTGCTGCGCCGATTCGCTTCTTTACCATTTTACCGTTTTAACTGGTGATAGCCTTTCGAAGAATACCGGTCTTCGAGAGTGAATTCACTCTGTTTGGATATCGCAATATAATCACGCACTGTACGATCCTCTAGAGCACGGCTTGAGCCGCATTCTAGGCCTTGCGGTAAAAGAAAAGCTTCAGATGCCGAAAATTCGCGCGATGGTACTCAATTTTCATACGAGTGCTGTACTGATATATGTACTTTCACAAATGCTGAGTGAATCTCAACATTAATATAAAAAAGGGCCTGCTCTTCCACAAAACACATAACTCTATGAGTTCAGATCCATGATCTCTTGTAACAGTTGATGAATCGAGGGTGTTCAAAATCGGCGGAAAATTTCTGGACAACCCAATATACATATCTTCAAAACAAAGAGCAATGGAATAATGGTAACAGTGAAGGATGTCAAACTGTCCTCTCCTTGTCTGTCAGATGGACATGTCACGAAATCGTGATGTTTTGTGTCAATCCAGCTTTTTTTCACTATTTTTGTTCTACGTTAGCAATATTTGTGAAGGAGAGGGTTTGAGGTACTTTCATAGAGTAGCAGAGAGGTTTGCTCATGCCAACATGGCTGCGCTATTTATGCTGTTGTGTTCGATCAAATTCTACCTCCGAAGTACCTTTAAAGAAGAGAAGCGAACCTAAGTTTTTTTTCGATAGCCGACGACAATTGGTCATTGTAATGACATGCCTTAAGAAACCATTACCTACCGTGATGGAGCAGTTATACAGGGTACGTATATCATGTGACAAGGACATCTGGAAAACCGCTGGTACTTCTCCTAAATACAGGGTGCGAATGAAATAACCCTAGTGCTTGGCCAATCCCGTAGGCAGCAATTTTTATAGATTCATTATCCTCCTTCCTGAGAATGCACTTGCATTCCTTCTGACGTCAGGCCATCATCCTTCCCTGTTTTACACCGTAGGTTGGCTTTCGGCTGAAAAGCTGCTTGCTTGATAAGTCATATAATACGTGATAACTCAATTCTTCCCACATCCGTCGCTGACTCTGAACCCCTTAATAAAGACCTTTGCTGAATTCGAGGCAGTTATCATATGCTTTTGCTCGATCCCCTTTGTGGGTATACGATAAGGTGTATCATCTTCAGTTTTTCCTCATGTTATAGTACCTCTACCCAACTCAAAAATCATGTAGCTGATTGAGTAATGAGAAGGAGGAATTCCTGCAATTCGCGTTCCAGTCTCTTTCTCGGTACTCTTCCAGAAGGCCTCGTTTTTAGGCAGAACACATCCAACTCGATCAAAGTACAGACAGCGCGGTTGCTTCCTCAATACAGACCACATGTGGATTTACATGATCATTGCGGTTATTCGAAATTTTCCTTGTAGAAGACTCATAAAATGGTCTGGACAATCCCATGCAAAAGGAAGGCCTTCAGGATCGAGTAACCGTGAAAATGCTACTGAAATGACGAGTGTATATTACTAGGGTAAAATTGATGGCAGCGAAACTGTCCCTCTCCACTTTAGAGACCTGTTACGAGCTCATCATGGGAATGAAAATCAGTAATCCATATTTATTCAAATACTGAAGTTATTTCAATCACACAGATTACACATTTTAGGACACATTTGTTTCCTGAACTGTACCGAAAAGTACTCTCTTGTGCAGATCCCGCTCAATTCGTAAATAGGGCACCTGAAAAATCATTGTCAATTGTTATTCCCTGACGCTGACGGATTCTCCTCACTTCGGATGGTCCTCGCATCTTCGTTTTGGTGCAGCGTAAAGCGTGGTGGTTGTAGGAGCGATTGTTGTCGTGGTGGCAGCAGTAGTAGAAAATGGTCTAACTGTTCGATAGGTTGGACGAGGCTCGCTCGGATCAACTGAAGTAGTTCAAAATTATCAGAGTA